CTGGCGGTCAGTTTCAGCAGCGGCTGAATCTGGACGCCAGTTCCGACTTACATACAGATTCAACTTAAGAACAAACCTACAGTCCCTATCTTGTACGTAACCCGGGCTGGCGGTCAGTTTCAGCAGCGGCTGAATCTGGACGCCAGTTCCGACTTACATACAGATTCAACTTAAGAACAAACCTACAGTCCCTATCTTGTACGTAACCCGGGGACTGCCTGTATATTTGCTCTAATTACACCCTCCTGCAGTGGGAAACCTCACTGAGAGGAAAGCTTCTTTGGGGTAGGGGTGGTTTCCCAGAGTACCCAGGCAGAGTCTCTCTTGTCTGAGGCCTCCATTTTCTCTGTTTCTGTGAGGCCTTGTGTTCCTTCTCCCCTCTCAGGCTTTGGTGTGAGCACCCAGACTCGCTCGCTCTCCTTTTTGAGACCCTGGTTTCACAACAATACGTTTTGTTCTTTATGCCCCTCTGTGGGGCTGTAGCCAGGGCACTGCCAGGCTCAGAGGGAAGGAAAAGGCCCACCCTCCACAGGAGCATGGCTGGTGAGAACCTGTTCTAGTGTCCTAACGGGTGGATGGAGATGGTCCTGTTAGCTCGAGCTGGGAGCCCCTGCCCTCCATACAGTGGGGAAGCTTTAATGTGGGGGGCAAATCCTGTCCAGCTGTTCGGTTGAGGCCTTCCAGAGGTACGCGAATAGTTAATTTTGTGTCTGGTTCCGCTTTGCGGGCAATTTCTTTCTCTTCGGCATTGGGCTGGCCAGAAGGAGAGAGAGAGCACTTTCTCAGTAATAACCTCATCTGAGCCCTTTCCTCCTTTGTGCCCCTTGCAGGTGGATGATGCGATGCTGATGTTTGACAAGACGACCAACCGACACCGAGGTGAGGACAGGCCCCTGGAAGCATGGGGGTGGCTGGGGAGAGCTGGCAGGGGATTGTGTAATGAGGAGCCGCACATGTGCTTGTGGTGATGGGGATGTAGGGGAGCTAGCATCCAGGGGCCAGCAGCAGGGCATTACGGTCTTAGCTGCTTTTTATCTCCCCTCCCATCACCCCATCCCTTAGCCATCCGCATCCTTTTGCAGAGTCCCTCGCAGCACAGAGAGCTTTTGTCCAGATGGTTTCCTGTGCTGTAAACTCGCTGAGTAGCTGATATATGAGAGGAAGCAGTCTCCTCCCCTCTGCAGCTACCTACATGGCTCCAGTCATCTGTGTGTGTCCTGTGCGTCTTACCTTCCCCTGAGTAATCTGAACCCTGGGGAAGCAGACACAAGCCCCAGAAGAGGGCCTGCCGCTGACCCCTTCCTCAGCCCTAGGCCCAGTTGTGCTCCCATGTCACCTTTTTGTCAACTCCCATATGTGGAGTCCTGTTACAGAGCGAGAGCCTGGTATTCAAGCTCTTCAGGTCACATAGGAGTTAGATTCTCAGCTCTGGAGGTGCCTGATTCTCTTGTACACATGCCCTTGAATTGGCAGCCAATTCTGATGGTGTGCATCATCAGGAGGACACCACTACAGGGTCCTGCAAGCCTCCTTCATTCTCCTCCCTTTGCTAGGCCAATCCCATGTTCATGTACAGCAATAAAGCACTTAAGTGGTGTCTGCCTTGGACTCCCACAGGAAGCTCCTTCTGCTTGTGGCTCTCCCTCCCAGCTTTACTTACATGCTCACTCTTGCTGTCCAGGGTGACCTCCAGTGTATCCCATTTTCTTACTCTTCAAGTGATTCTTTTGTCTGGTTTTAGAGACGTACCACTACAGCCAAATTGGGGAGTGAGGGTGGGGGATGACTAGCCTCATAATAAGTCATCAGATCCTCCTCTTCTGCCCTCTACAGGAATTAGTGCTAGAGCAAAGAAAGCAGTCATAAGAAAAGGAGGAGGATCCTCATGTTAAGCCATAACCGGCTAAAAGATAGGGAAAAGAGAGGGCAGGAATGGATAATTTATTTTCACAATGGAAAAGGGTATATAGCAGAGTCCCTCCCAAAGGTCTGTGCTGCGACCAGTGCAATTTGACATATTATTAAATTATCTAAAAAGGAGAGAAACAGTGAGGTGCCAAAGTTTGCAATTGGTACGGAATTACTCACTGTTGTGACTTCCAAAATTGACTCCAAAGATTCACAAAGAGATCTCACAAAACTGAGTGACTGGGTTACAAAATGGCAGATGAAATTCAGTGATGACAAATGCAAAATGACACACATTGGAAAACATAATCCCAACTATACATACTAAATGTTGTAGTCTAAATTAGCTATTACCACTCAAGATAGAGATCTTGGTGTCGTTGTAGTTAGTTCTTTCAAAACAGTGTGCAGCAGCAGTCAAAAAAGCTAACAAGATTAGGAATTATTAGGAAAAATAATAAAATAATAAAACAGAAAAGATCATAATGCCACTACATACAAATTCATGGCATTCTGACACATTGAGTCTGTATGCCCCATCTTAAAAAGATGTATTAGAATTAGAAAAAGATATAGCAAAGGGCAACAAAAACAGACTAGGAAATATTAAAAGCTAGGGGCTGTTCAGCTTTGAAAAGAGATGTCGAAGGCCACGTCGACACTGGGAGATAATTTTGAATTTACTAAATTTTACTTCTGCGCTCCCGATTTGACATATTCGAAGCTCTGTGTCCTCACTATGAGGGAGTACAGGCAGTCCCCGGGTTACATACAAGATAGGGACTGTAGGTTTGTTCTTAAGTTGAATTTGTATGTAAGTCGGAACTGGCGTCCAGATTCAGCCGCTGCTGAAACTGACCAGCGGCTGACTACAGG